CCCCGTCCTCTGTATTCCCGGGATTCCACACAGGAAGGTCACACCATCCCTCACCATCATCAGGTAGATGAGGAACAATCACTGATAGTATCATTAGGATCTGTACATTATCTGCATTGTTACCATTGATGTCATTTTTATTATATATTCAGAGTGGAAACCTGAGAGATCCTAAAGTTGAGGTTAAAGAAGAGAAAAAGAGGAGGAGGATGAGGAGGGGGGGGTGATGGAGGAGTCAGAGCTTCTAAAAGAACACAAAGATCTGTACCAGGACACCATGGTGGAGTCATCCAGCTACAGGAACCCACCAGAGAGATGTCCCCGTCCTCTGTATTCCCGGGATTCCACACAGGAAGGTCACACCATCCCTCACCATCATCAGGTAGATGATGACAATTATTGGTAGTTGTGATTTATACACAGCATGTTTGTTACAATGAATGTTTTATTATATCTTTCAGAGTGGAATCCTCGGGGATGATAATATTGATGTTAAAGTATATAAAGAGGAGGATGAGGAGTATGGAGTGATGGAGGAGTTTTCAGAAGGACACAAGGATATGATGGAGCCACCTAATACCAGGAACCCACCAGAGAGATGTCCCCGTCCTCTGTATTCCCGGGATTCCACACAGGAAGGTCACACCATCCCTCACTATTACAAGGTTGGTGGGATGGAGCATCTAGAACATGGACTCATGAGACAATGTGTGATTGATTTAATTTTTATGTGACCTTATATTTTACAGATGATATTTTCTCTCATTTCCTTGATTTAGAGTGGAGATCCAATCGATATAGAATTTGAGGTGAAAGCAGAAGAAGAAGAGGCGTATGTGAGGGATGATCAGCAGTCTATGGAGGAGGATGGAATAACGGGGACATTTATAGAGGAGGACACTCCTACAGAGATCAGCACAGGTGGGTCATGAACACTAAATCCATTCCTCCACCCATACTGCTCACTGATTGGTCCAGAGTAGGGCGGGGACTGGGTGATATCAGCCTGTAATCCCCTGGTCACTTTCCTGAGCTGTGTTCCCCGTCCTGTATTCCTGGATTTCTCTCGGATAATCTTCCTTCTCTGTGCTGCAGACACAATTTATGTATCTAGACTGGATTTATGGAGGTTCTGGGGTTCAGCTGGCAGCAAAATGTTGATTTTCACCATAGCATTACTAGACCTAGGCACCTGGGGACATGTGTTTGGGTCTTCTCCCCATGCCCGGGCCATGCCTCTAGTAAGATCTCTGACAGAACATTTCTCCCAGGGTTCCTTGCTCTGTTGTCTGCTGGCTGTGCCGGGTGGAGGGATATGTCTGTAGTGTCTCAGACCCAAGTCACTGACTGACCCTTACACTATATACTTTATGTTGTACATTACATACTCCTGAACCCTGCACTACATATATATACCTTTTTGTACATTACATACTCCTGAACCCCTGCACATATATACAGCTGTGTCTAAATCACATACTCCTGACCCCTGTTGACTATCACTCTCTACATTACAGTGAGGTGACCCCTGCACTATATACTATGTTTGTACATTACATACTCCTGACCCACTGCACTACCCAGGATCTCCCATTCACACACTCCTGACCCCTGCACTATATACTCTATGTTGTACATTACATCTGTGCATCCCCCCTGCACTATATATCTCTCTTGTTCAGGAAGATTTGTCATACTCCAGACATGCACTTCATGACTCTATGGCCAAGTCATGACTAATCAGGAACAGAACTTATATACTCTACTTGTGTTCATTGAGACAGTACACACTATAGACCCCTGCACTGACTGACTCGGTCTATGGGGCCCCTTGACCCCTGCAACTAATACTCTGTGCTTGTACTCCCGTTATAATTCCCCCCTATACTGAACTCTAGTCCCACACCCACCCACATACATGTTTCCATGACCACACCTGCAATTGGTACATACTACTGACAGCTCACTATAGGGGTAGTATTTTACATTAATATCTCCGACCCCCAGCTAGCACTATAACTCATGTTTCCTTACATACTCTGTAGAACTGCTGGGCACTATATGCTTGTTGTACATGGATGGACTGGCCTGACCCCTGCACTATTATATCTTATGTTGATACATTACATATCCTGACCCCTGGACACACTATAGAACATAATTTGGTTGTGACAGTACACATGACATACTCCTGACAGATGCACAAAAATGGATGTTGTTTTTGTGACCCCTTAGGGAATCCTGCACCCCTGCACTTACTATACTCTGCATGGGTACATTACATACCTGACCCCTGCACTATATTACTCTATGTGTGTACATTACATACTCCTCCCCTGCACTATATACTGATTTTCCTGACATTACAATCCTGACCCCCCATAATCATTTGTTTTACATACTCATGACAGTCCCTGCACATAGGACTCTATTTACATACTGAAATATACATAAACCCCTGCATCCTATAAACTAGTTGATTCCAGGGGGGTACATTAGTCCCAACTGGTTATGTTGAGAGATGTCTCACTGTCATTCAGATCCAGGATGCAGAGATTTCCCCAAATTTTAGGACTATGGGGGGTACCTTGGAAAACTCTGACCCTGAGGGGAGTCACTTACATGTGCACTTGGGGAGAGTTTATTGACAGGATTCTCCTCCTGAGACCCTGCAATATCCAGTGGAGTTACATGACTAGGGGGAGGGCCGGGTCCATCATGCTGTGGATGATTGTACTACAATACCCTGACCCTGGGGATCCATAGGGTGTTTCTACAGTTGTAGAGGACATGGAGTCCCTGCACTATAGGACTTTGCAGACAATCCCACAACATTAGGAGTCACTCATCCCTAACATGACTTAGGGCAGGATGATGACTCATGCATCTAGCAGATGATAGATCTGCTGAGGTGAGAGACTCAGACTCTGTATAGATTGACATGGATGCACTGATACTCTTGGCACAGAGGGAGAGATTTTCAGGACCACTATGGAGGACTGTGCAGAGTGGTACAAAGGACTGATGGAGATTCTGCACTGATACTACTACTGATAGGGAGCACACATTACAATGGATATAGATCATATATACTCATTTGTACATTACCCTGAGGGGGAGAGACTCCAGTGGTGATGTAGTCATTCATTCTCCTAATGCATATAGTACTCTTTTGTACATTATATACTCCTGACCCTCTGCTATATCTGCATGTTGTACATTACATCTCCCCCCCTCACTGACATACTCTTATCTGTACTCCCATACTCCTGACATCTATATCTGATCCCACATGAGTACATTCTGTGGCACAACTCTGGACCTGGCCTGTCAGATTCCATGTACTCATGACAGCCCTGCAGCGTGTATATATTCATTTGTACATTAAGATGTCCTGACCACTGCACTACTGCACACTTGGGTTCCTTGTCATGCATGTTTCCTTTGACCTAGACCCCAGCACCCTTACTCATCTTTGTCAAAATCATTACATACTCCTGACCCCTGATCTGTTTTAACTCTATGTTGTACATTTACAACTTTAACACTGCACTCCTATACTCATCTTTGTACATTATACTCTGGACCCCATCACAGATATGTCTGGTTGTACATGTTACATTACTCCTTAGACCCCTGCATTATATACTCTAACAGTAACTAATTACAGTCTCCTCCACCCTGCACACTATACTCTCAGGTCAAACATTTTTTTTTTCCTGATTTGTACATACACCTGCAGGTAAATATATACTCATGTTGTACATGTTTACATACTCCTGTGACCCCTGCCCACTATTGGGTACTCCATGTTGTACATTAAACTACTGACCCCTGCACTATATACTCTATGTTGTACATACTACATACTCCTGACCCCTGCACTATATACTCTATGTTGTTTGATACTCCTGACCCCTGCACTATATACTCTATGTTACTACATTCATACTCCTGACTTCTGCTCTCCCCCCCCCCCCACCCTATATATACACATAATATGGATTCTCTTTTGTCCCCCATTTCCTCCCAGCTGGACATTTTATATCGGATGATGTGATTGGAGCACAGACTTTTACATGGTGATAATAATGTGATAACATCCTCCAACTTTGGACCCTTAAACAGAAAGTGATAATGAGGGAGGAGTCAATACCCCAATGATGGTGGTCTTCAGGATCAGTCCAGTCTTCATCTTGGTTGTTCTCCCCCCATCCTCACTCTCTGACCTCTGGTGGGGCTCAGCCCCGCTGTTCTTCATGACTAAATCATGGACTAAAAATAAGGAAGTGCAGTACTTCTTGTGTTGGGAAGATGGCGATGAGTGATAGAGGGGGTGGGGACCCTCGTCCTATAATCCCCTCATCACTGTCCCTCCTATAAAAGACAGTTCTGGTTGTTTCCTCACTCTCTGACTAAGGTCCATGAATAAAGAAATGACCTGGTAGGAGATCAGAGGAGCCATTTCCTAGTTCCCTTGAGGGTGGAATTGTAAGCTCCTCAGAGACCAAGCTGCCTGATGTGGGCGGAGTCCTGGTTTGGGGGAACCAATCAGCTCCTGTCTAGTAATCCTCTTTGTCTTTGTATTTTAGTCCATGGCCGGGAGATGAGGAAAACCTCCGAGGATTGTCTCACTTTGTCTCCAGACTGGAAAGTAGAAGATGAGGACATCACACAGTATAGTCCAGGAGAAAACCCGGCTCCCTCCAATGTCCATCCGGCACCACCCAGTGTAGATGGACCATCGGATTCCTCGTATCCTGAGGAACCTCAGACTGTGCGGGGACCGGGCCGGCCTTCCAACAGGGAAGAGCTTCTCCTGTACTGAGTGCGGGAAATTTTTTTCAAAAAGTCCATCTTTTGCACAAAAGATCTCACAGGGGGGAAAAGCCCATATTCCTGTCCTGAGTGCGGGAAATGTTTTTCACTTAAGTCCATCTTTTACAAACATCAGAGATCTCACACGGGGGAGAAGCCGTATTCCTGTCCTGAGTGTGGAAATGTTTTTCACAGAAGTCCCATCTTTTACAGACATCAGAGATCTCACACAGGGGAGAAGCCATATTCCTGTCCTGAGTGTGGGAAATGTTTTTCAAAGAAGTCAGATCTTTACACACATCAGAGATCTCACACAGGGGAGAAGCCGTATTCCTGTCCTGAGTGCGGGAAATGTTTTTCAGAGAAGTCCAGATCTTTACACACATCAGAGATCTCACACGGGGGAGAAACCATATTCCTGTCCTGAGTGTGGGAAATGTTTTTCAAAAAAGTCCAGTCTTTCACACACATCAGAGATCTCACACGGGGGAGAAGCCTGTATTCCTGTCCTGAGTGTGGGAAATGTTTTTTCAGTTAAGTCCATCTTTACACACATCAGAGATCTCACACAGGGGAGAAGCCGTATTCCTGTCCTGAGTGTGGGAAATGTTTTTCACAGAAAGTCAATCTTTACACACATCAGAGATCTCACACGGGGGAGAAGCCGTATTCCTGTCCTGAGTGTGGGAAATGTTTTTCACAGAAGTCCAATCTTTTCCACACATCAGAGATCTCACACGGGGGAGAAGCCGTATTCCTGTCCTGAGTGTGGGAAATGTTTTTCATTGAAGTCCAATCTTTCCACACATCAGAGATCTCACAGGGGGATAATCCACTTTCCTGTCCTGAGTGAGGGAAATTTTCTTCACTGAAGTCCTGTCTTCCTGTACATCAGGGATCCCACACAACCCTGGAAGTGTATTAGTGCCTTGAGTGCGGGAAATGTCTTCTTTGGACATCCCAGCTCTCGTGGGGAAGAAGCACACCCTAATATACACCTCAGATATACTCCATGGCTAGGGGCAAACTGACAACTCATGGGGCCCCTGTGTCCTTGCCCAAACTGAAAAAAGACTATGAAAAAGGTACCAGGGGCATCTCATGGGGCCCCTACTGACCCCGGGCCCTCGGGCAGTGCTCAAGTTTCCAAATGGTGAGTCCGCCCCTGTCCATGGCTGATCTTCATCATGTAAGAAACAGTTCATAAGATTAGAGGTCCCCAAAGACATGGATGAAGTGTGGGACTGGGTTGGCCATTGATAGCAGGAAAAGAATAAAAATGGTGGAAGATTTCACAAACACTTAGAGGTCGATTTAAAAAAAAAAATAGTTTGGGGGTGTGTGCTGTATGGCCACTTGAGATTGAAGCTCCGCTCCAACACCAGGAATCCCAGATCAGTGAGGCAAATTCTGACCGAGTACTCAGCACCTAGCAGATTCTGATTGTTCACTCATCCACCGGGGGATGACCTGCAAATATAAAGAGACATCTCATGTGCCACATTTCTTTCCTCTGGCGATGAGAAGATCTCAAGATGGCACCAATGGCCGATCCCCGGCCTCCTCCGGTGGCTCTCACTCTGCTTCACAGAGTCCGATCTCATCAGCTGAAAGATATGTTCATTTCGCTCCCAGGTGCCTACATTCTGATATGATGACGCGTACAGAATTCAAAAGTTGAGGTAGGAGAACTTGGAGGAAGAATAGACCATATTGAACAAAAAATGGGAGAATTCGCCTCATCACACAGTTCATTAGTGGACGCCCATAATGTGACCTGGCTTAAAGCCAAAGTAGCAGACTTAGAAGAGTGGTCATGCAGATATAATATCAAAATAAGGGGCATCCCAGAAGCTATTCAACCAGCCCAACTCCATCAGCATGTGATCTCATGCAATCCTTTCTTCCTTCAACACCTACCTCAGAAATGGTGGGAGACAGAATTCACTGATGGCCTAAACTATCCCATCTTGGGGACAACATTCCCAGAGATGTCCTGATGTGAGTACAATTCTACCACATTAATCGCTGTAATGCCTATGAAATGTGTTGGCCTTGAACCCTTTGTTTCTTGGGTAATTTGTACAATAAAGCATTGTTACCCCAAATGCCAGGGGCATGATGTCATTTCTCCAAGCCAAAGGAACAGAGTCACAAGATATTCTGCTTAGAGTAAAATAAAAACTTGTTTTATGGAATTGAACGTGTTTATGACATCTAGAATGTCACATTAGAAGATAAAAACCAATGTATAGATGTCTACTTGCTTGAGAAGTTAGAAATCTTTAAGTCTATGGTAGATGAGAAGAAGTTTAGGGTAGATAAGAAGAAAAATGTGACTTTTTTTAGATAACGATATGGAATCAATATGGTGGTTGAACATGACTCTGTTGTCCTCGCAGAACCCTTCTGCTAGCTCCTCCTGTGGTGGGTGTGGTGCCTGCCCACTATTGGACAGCTTCCAGAGAAAAATGGTTTAAAAGCCAGGAGTTTGAGCGGGATCAATTAGGAAGCCCCCCTAGTTGCCAGAGTACTCTCTGATGCTGGGACTCTTACCAAGGCTATATGGGCTCATCAATCGTCGCGATTATGGCTTCCCCGTGACCCCCTGGGCAGTACGGTTTCGATGGGATTTGTTCCTTCCAGCTTCTAACATAGCTTAATGTATGTTTTTTAAAAATAGATATTTTTAAAATATATTCTTCATTTTTTTTAACAGATAAAAAAGTCATTTTAACATATATTTTTACATATATTTGTATATGCATTACAAAATCGTAGACTTGTATTTTTAAAGACATGCAGTATATTTAAAAATGTATTTTTAAAAATATTTGCATATATTTTGTAATGAAAATGCATCTCAACATGCAGTGTGTATGTATATGTGTATATGTGTGTATATGTATATATGTGTGTATATATGTATATATATATATATATATATATATATATATATATATATATATATATATTATTTTTTTTTTTTTTTTTTTTTTTTTTTTTTAATTGAAATATATTGAATATGTCCAAAATTGGAGCATTTCAAATATTTGGGAATAATATTTTTAAAATATATTTCAAATATATTTTTTCTTCCATATGGGTTACCTTGTATTCTGTGTCTCTGAAACTTTTCTATAAATAATAAAATATCTTTGTTAGGCTGTTGCTTGCATAAGAGCTAGATTTATTTGTTCTTAGTTTTTTTATTTATTTTTGAACTTCCCTGGCAGCCCTGTAAGGTATATTATATACAGGAATGGATATTCTGAGATGGTTCTCAGGGCTGCAGTTCCTTTGAAATCCACAAGGTGGTGATCTCACTTATACCCAAACAGAAGGTCTCTATGGAATACAGACAGGAAGTGATGTCAGGTACAGACAGGAAGTGATGTCAGGTACAGACAGGAAGTGATCTGAAATAAAGACTGGAGGTTACATGAGGAAGGGAAGCAGAGAGGAGATGTTGGTGGAAGTGACAGCAGAGGAGGTAATGTTCTATTTACACCCAGTGACCCCCGTCATGTCTGTCCTCTTCCTCCATAGTCATGTCCGTCCTCTTCCTCCATAGTCATGTCCATCCTCTTCCTCCATAGTCATGTCTGTCCTCTTCCTCCATAGTCATGTCCGTCCTCTTCCTCCATAGTCACTGTGATGTCTTTTATGTCCAGCAGATGATGATACACACATATATAGTGTGGGAACCCAGATGAACCCCTTCAGGGGCAGAACATTCCCCCACTTCCGGGGCCGGAACATTCTCCTCATTGTGGAGATAAATTCTAGTAATATGGTCCTCTAAACAAACAGCACTGACAATAAATAGACAAGACAAGGACCATCCTGACCATACATGGCCTACAAAGGGCAATGATGACACTACACAGGCAGCCAATGGGCAATCATTACACTATGCAGCCAACACAATGATGGAGTGCCGGGGTCAGGAGTATGGAGCATAGAGCCCCTTACATTGCTGCTCAGGAGGAAGAAAACATTCCCCAGCCGGCCATGAAGAATATGTCTGAGGGAAGTAGAGGAGCTGAGGGGTCTCTCAGGGGGTACTGAGGATGAGGAACTTTGGGGCCCCTGAAGAGGTAGTGGAGCTCAGGGCCTTAAGGAGGTAATGTAGTTGAAGGACTCCGGGCCCTTTGTGGGTACTTGTCCTTAGAGGAGGTCTGTTTCCGCAGTATCGCCTAAAAGTTAGTCAGGGGTCATTGCTATACATATTCAGGAGACACTCCAATACCTCCCATGACACAGGCTCTGGCAGTGCCCGGTGCTGGAATTCAGAGTCCCAGGAACCCACCACCACTCTGTACAATGTCCTGGATACCAGAAAATACTTGGCAACCAAGAGAACCCCCCTACTGTCCTCCTACCCACACTGGGCTGCCATTGGAGAGAACCGACTCCCCAACAGCTCTGTACTCCACCATCACCATCCTCCTGCTATCTCAGTGGTTCTCAACCTTTCTAATGCCGCGACCCCTTAATACAGTTCCTCATGTTGTGGTGACCCCCAACCATAAAATTATTTTCGTTGCTACTTCATAACTGTAATTTTGCAGTGGGAGGACTAGCGCCCCATCACTGATGTCAGTGGGATGAATAGTGTCCCATCGTTGGTATCAGTGGGAGGAATAGTGCCCCATCATTGGTGTCAGTGGGAGGAATAGTGTCCCATCATTGGTATCAGTGGGAGGAATAGTTCCTCATCATTGGCGTCAGTGGAAGGAATAGTGCCCCATCATTGGTGTCAGTGGGAGGAATAGTGCCCCATCATTGGCGTCAGTGGGAGGAATAGTGTCCCATCATTGGCGTCAGTGGGAGGAATAGTGTCCCATCATTGGTGTCAGTGGGAGGAATAGTGTCCCATCATTGGTGTCAGTGGGAGGAATAGTGTCCCATCATTGGTGTCAGTGGGGGGAATAGTGCCCCATCATTGGTATCAGTGGGGGGAATAGTGCCCCATCATTGGTATCAGTGGGAGGAATAGTGCCCCATCATTGGTATGAGTGGGAGGAATAGTACCCCATCATTGGTATCAGTGGGAGGAATAGTGCCCCATCATTGGTGTCAGTGGGAGGAATACTGCCCCATCATTAGTATCAGTGGGAGGAATAGTGCCCCATCATTGGTGTCAGTGGAAGGAATAGTGTCCCATCATTGGTATCAGTGGGAGGAATAGTGTCCCATCATTGGTGTCAGTGGGAGGAATAGTGCCCCATCATTGGTATCAGTGGGAGGAATAGTGTCCCATCATTGGTATCAGTGGGAGGAATAGTGTCCCATCATTGGTGTCAGTGGGAGGAATAGTGCCCCATCATTGGTATGAGTGGGAGGAATAGTGCCCCATCATTGGTATCAGTGGGAGGAATAGTGTCCCATCATTGGTGTCAGTGGGAGGAATAGTGCCCCATCATTGGTGTCAGTGGGAGGAATAGTGCCCCATCATTTGGTGTCAGTGGGAGGAATAGTGCTCCATCATTGGTGTCAGTGGGAGGAATAGTGCCCAATCATTGGCGTCAGTGGGAGGAATAGTGCCCAATCATTGGCGTCAGTGGGAGGAATAGTGCCCCATCATTGGCGTCAGTGGGAGGGAATAGTGTCCCATCATTGGTGTCAGTGGGAGGAATAGTGTCCCATCATTGGTGTCAGTGGGAGGAATAGTGTCCCATAATTGGTGTCAGTGGGAGGAATAGTGTCCCATCATTGGTGTCAGTGGGGGGAATAGTGCCCCATCATTGGTATCAGTGGGGG